CATAATCCCACTTGCAACACACGTAATATAAACGTCTGCTTCTCTAAACTCCCAGTGTTAATTCTTGCCAGTTGCACTCTCGGTGGTGCAGATAACACATGCACCTTTTTTGTGCAACTTCACCACGATGAAGTTGCAAAAATCATGAAATGTGAAATGTGAAATGATGATGAAATGTGACCAAAATCAATACGTGGTGGGTTTGATCCTGTGAACGTCACATGTATGAATACTTCAATTGTGGTATTTTACAAGCCTTGTGGGTTACTTTCCTTATGATATTCAATATATACCAGTTTATTAGTTCCATCTAGGTAACAGCCCTGCTCTGAATCCTCCCTTAATGCGGGTTATAATGTTACGTTTTTTGTTTTAAAGAGGTGTTGATTCAACTTTCTGGTAAATTCTGAGGCTGTAGTGTGTGGTGCGGTTGGAATAATAAATAAAACATAAACACATATTTTTTATTTGCTGGAGAACTTGAGTTTTACTGTATTGTTGTGGTTCAACAGCATTTTATCAAATGTTAATGCTTTTAGCTTTAGCTTTCACTTGCTTTACAGTAAATCAACGTGTTAAAGCTGAAACTCGATGATTCAAACGTTTATTTTAAACTCAAATACTCGAAACATCTCACATATTTTCTGTTTAGCTAAACGGCTCACAGTAAAGTAAGCCAGCCTAGCCAGATGTTAGCCACTCGGCGGCCCGCTTTAAATGCGGACGCCAGCCTCTTTCAGTTTGACACCGAGATTGCAACTTCCTGGCTCTAACTTACAGTACGTCCTTCAGCTATATCAGCGGTTGCTATGTCATTAGCCGCTTTTGTCAAACAAACACTCTGATTAGCTTCTTGACTGACAGCTCCTGTTGGTGTTGCTGTGGCAACCGCGGGTAAGCCCGATTGGTTACACCTCGCCGTTATCTCCGACGTGTCAGGTGGTTTGGTCAGAAGAGACCTTTACACCTTCTTGTTCTGTGTGTTTTCTCCTTCAACTTCAAGGCATTGCCTGTTCTTTTGTTTTCTCCTCTTTCATGCCGTCCCTGCAGGATCCGTTTGTTGTAATTCCTGCATTGTATCTTCTTCTCGTTCTCGTTCTTCGCCTCTCACTAATGATCCATACCATTGGGGCAATCTATCATGGTTTCCACCATCAGCCCTTCCCTTCTTCTTCTTCCACCTCTCTTTCTTTTCCTCTCTCTTTTTCTCTGCAACTGTGTGACAATATGAGATTTGCTCTCCCTCGGGGCATAAAAGCACATTCATTCTAGGGAAAAGAAACATGCACTGTGACAGCACAAGAAGCTGTATGTGCCATTACACGGCGAGATATCTCATGGACCCACATGTACACAAACACACAGACACACAGATGCAGTTGAGAAATGAGATAGTGATGGAACGATGAATTAGATTTATCAGTGCTTCAGCCTTGTATTACTCCCTCTGTGCAGACCGCCAGGGCCATTGCTGCAAAGAAAGATGGCCAGAGAAAGTGACGGAGTTACTATAGGATGAAGAGGAAAAGCCAGGAAGATGAACGACTGACACTGAGATAGAAAGAGAGATGGGGAAGGAGGGAAACAAACATGTTAACAGAAATAATGCAGCCTAAAGAGAAACAGATAACAAGAGAGAGGAAGATGTAAAGACCGATTACCAACCATACTTCCATCACTTTCCCTCCAGTGTTATCGAGCAACTGTACTAGCTAGCAGCTAACAAGCAATGGGGCTGTTTTTTGATAGTCAATACGATACCAGCTTGATACCGAAACACTTTATGAATTATGATTTGTGTAATTTAACATTAGCCTATCAACCCATCACTGTTTAGTAATACAATACTTTCTTATGTTAAAAGCTTCATGACTGAGTGGAAATATCTCATTAGCCAGTTGTTATTACTTCGCACTTTTTGATCCTCTATAAAAACGTTTAAGGTTCGATGTCCATAGGTAGCAACTGTAAGCTAATGCTCACACGCTGTGATGCTCTCGTACATTTATCTTGATAATATAAAAGGTGTAGTGTATAAAGCCAGACCGATATGGGGCCGATAATAATTTTAGAGGGGAAAAATGCATTGATTAGCCAATATATTTTACTCAAAAAGGTGCTTTCTTAGTAACTATAGTAAGTAACTTGATTAAACAATAATGTTAAATGTTCTTTAACATGTTAAATAATCTAACATATAGGCTACTTTGTCAACCGACTCTATAAGTGAACACTGACTAAATAAATCGTATATCGGATGATGCCAACGCCAATGCCGATACGATACCAGTATGTGCGATAGGCCAATATCGGCCAATGATATAGGATCTAGTCCTGTATTAATAAGACTATTTAGAATTAGGTCATCAAGTTGTTTCAGTAGATCTACTAATCTTTTCCAAGAGGCACCTTGGTTGTTTGTAACGTACTAAATTAGCATTGTGTTAAAATGATTAAAATGTGGAACATACATGTCCTTCTTGTATTAATTCCAACCCCAGTGATACATTGAATTGCATTGTTGACTTCAATGCAACAATAACTAGTAAACTGAGGCCCCCACTATGACATTTCTATGTTTTTTTGCTCTGTCACACACACTTTCAGTTTCTTAAATCTTAAATCTAAAACAAAAAAACCTTCCCTTCCCGCTCTCAGCTTGTGGTTTTGTTGGTAGTTGTCATGCAGGTGACAAACCTCCTGTCTGAACCTTGAATTATCCTTCAGGACGGATTTCCGGATCACGCACTGATTCAGAGACCCTGCCAAGTTCCTGGTGAGCCAACTGCTCTCAGTCGGCCTTGTCTTTAGAACTCTGGTAGATTACGCTAGAAAAACAACATACCTGTGTTATGGAAAGAGTCTTTTCTTATTGCCTGTCCTGTGTTTTCATTACAGTGCAATTTAACAGTTTGCTCCTGATTTAGAGATAACAAAAACAATATCCTCTCCGCCTCTCCTTTCCAATCTCCTTTTAGCACTTTCTCCTCATATCAGGTTGCAAAATTGTCAGCAAAAACCTTTCTGCTCCTTAACACAGATTTAGATGTTTAGGATATATGGTGGAAGTTATATTTGGAAACACTATTAAACTTAACAGTCTGAACATTAAAACCATATTGTAAGTCTCCTGTTCAAACTATTTCAACATCCTCGATACACATGCTCACACACAGATGAACTTTGCCCACATGTTGTAGTGGCAGTGCAGGTTGTGCAAGCTGTTTAATTACAGATGACGTAAAAGAACATTTGAATCTGGGTGACAATTAGATAAGGTTTTTTTTTTTTTTTTTTGCTGCTTACAGTATGCAGGAAATTGTCCTGATGGCTTTCGCAAAAGAGCAGTGTGATTAGTCTTTTCCGGTTGTAGCAAAGAATTGGCGATTAGGGTTGCAGCAGTATAAAACTGACGGTTATTATACCATATACATTTGTTATCCATGGTATTGAATTCTGGCATATTAGTGTTTATTAGAATAAAAAAGAATTCTAGCTAGCATGTTAGTGTTGTTAAAAGATATATTGAATTCTAGCGTATTTAGTGCTATAAAAATGAAATTATAAGTATATAGTGTTTGTTCAACTAACTAAAAAGCCCCTTACTGTTTTAATTCCTTTGTAACTGGGTCATTGTAAATGATAATGATAATTTACTGTATATTACTGTGATATTTTCTCTCAGATATACTGTAAAATCATACTGTGAGAACCTGAAAAACCCTATTTGGGACACATTTCAAGGTTTCACAGAAATGTATTGAAAATGTTTGCATTATTGTTGTCTCTTAAAATCAGTTTAAAGGTCATTCTAGCACAGATTGTTGTATTGTGTTTGACAAGAAAGTTCCTGTTGTATTTAACTATTGGATTTCGGCAGTCAACACATTTCCAGCTAATCAGATCCAGCTTTATCAAACCCCAGAGACAGTTGATGTCGGTTTCTGCCATGAAAGTATGCGAGCGGCACATGTGCACTCACCGATGCGCGGATATCACTGTGAGAAAGTCACAGGCTTGTCAATGGAGGCCGATCTAATGAGAGCTGCCGTGGTAACGCATGCAGGAATGTGGCTACGGCGGATGATAAACATGCAGGTATACGGAGAGAGCCATCAGTAACGTGATCAATGTCTGAGATTGCATCAGCATGTGTGAATGTGCCTTGCGCCGGCGTCTACCACCGGGCCCCGGGTATCCTCTTGTTCGAGAAATGAGGATCTCCATGGCGACCCCCGATGTCCTATCTCAAATTGATTACCCATGGTGCATTCTGTCCTCTCAGGGCACGCACTCATAAATAGAGAGTGAGAAAAAAACGAGCGCATGATAAGCAGAGGCACAGACGAGGGTGAAGTCAAACAACAGCCGCCACAATGGAATCAGTGGGGAGCTTCTGCTCTGTAAAATACATGGTATCAAATCAAATCATGGCCAATTTTCACGCAGACACGGATGGCTGCCCCTCCAACCTGCTGCATCACCTCATCACTGTTGCTCCTGTAATGAAAGTACAGGAGATTACCTCTCGTGTTTTTGCTGCATTAACTCTCCTATCGACACGCAGCCAAATGAGCTTCTTTTGTTTTCTTGTTTAAGCTCTTTCTGTCCCCCCCGTGACTTTCCTTATCATAAATTAGTAACATGCATTTCATGAAATCACTTGAGCATGTTTGAAAATGCACAAACACTGGTATCGTCCTGTAAGTAAATGTTTCTGTGAGTGTCTGCTATCTTGACAGATTCAGTCAACACCTCTCTGCTCTTCTGCAGCTCTCTCTCTGTTGTGTGTCTCACCCAAAAAAAAGCAAACAAGCCATCTTAGTGACACTATCCAAACTGATCTCCTTCTGTTTATGTGTGAACTCCAGGAAGAATAGCTGTCTCCTTACTTATTCAGAGGATCTGGATGCACTAACGTTTTTCCTTTCTCCTCTCCTCCCATCTCTCTTCCACTATGTCTTCTCTGTCCTTTTTTTTCTGACTCTGTCTCGCCACAGAAAAGTGTGAAGGAGGGAATCCTGTTAAAGCAGACCAGTTCTTTCCAGAGATGGAAGAGGAGGTACTTTAAACTCAGAGGGAGGACCCTCTACTATGCCAAAGACTGCAAGGTACAAGGATGTGTGAAACTGCCTGCAGCTGCTTTAAATGATCAAATTGTTTGTTGCAAGTGCAAATTCCCTGAGCTGTGAAACCAAAACCAACACGACATCATCGATATTTTTACTATAGATTGGTTTATGTTTCATTGAGAGGTGTCTGGGAATAGAAAAGATGTGATTTTACGTACATTACCTGGATACAGTACTCAAAAGATGAGCTAATGTTTGCATTGTTTGTCTTGCTGTCAGTCTCTGATTTTTGATGAAGTGGACCTATCAGACGCCAGTGTGGCCGAGACCAGCACGAAGAACATCAACAACAGCTTCACGGTGAGCAACAAGACTGGTGTCAAAATATCTCCACAGCTACTGGACGGATTTATGTTGCCCATAAGGATGAATCCTACAGATCCTCTAATGACAACCTAATGGTGGTGCCATTGGGTTGTCATTCGTGGTTTGGAGTGAAATGTCTCAATAACTGTTGGATGGATTGTCCTGAAATTTGGTCGATGGTCCTGTACACCTTCAGGAATAACTTCCCTGACGTCAAAATTATGATTTATCCAATACCTAAAAAACCTAATGACGTTCCTTAGCAAATGTTAGCGTACACGTTACACACACAATCACGTGTGTTGTCACTGTTAGCGTGCAGATGTTAGCATTTAGCTGAAATATCCATGGGGGCATTTTCAGACAGCCTGTTCCTGTGAACATGTACAAGCTTCACAGAGCTGCTAGCATGGCTGTGAAAAGCTGCTCAATCCCAATAATGTGATATGATGTTTAGAAATGATTAAATGAGGTATATAGATTTGGCTTCAGATGAAGTATTCTCACAGGTTTGAAGAAAAGAGTTCACTTCTAAGCTCAGACTTTCATTCTCTCTCAGGTGATCACTCCATTTCGCAAACTAATGTTATGTGCCGAGAGCAGGAAGGAAATGGAGGACTGGATCAGCGCTCTCAAATCCGTCCAAAAATGGGAAACCTATGAGGTTGTTTTTTGTTTTTTTTATCTTTGGCAGCCTCTTTCATATTCACAACATTGTTATTTATTCTGCTGGCTGACATCAGAATATTAGAAATGTGCCAAATTGATGATCCTTTGATAAAAGCTAGTCAGCATGAGCGTGTAATCTATTTTGATGAGCACAGGCTTCACACCTCACTCATTAATTCTTCCTCCATCTGTTCTTTTCTCAAAGTATCCATCTTTTCTACTTTCTTGGAGGAAAATCCGCTCATCCTTCTCTCTCTCTCTCTCTCTCTCTCTCTCTTTCTCTCTTCCACCATTCTATCCTTCATCCTCTCTGCTTTTCATTGGAGCTCATTGCCAGCAGATTGATGTCGCTCATAAAATCAGACCCATCTGCTTTTATAGGCTATAAAGAGAGCTGAGGACTGTAAGCTGCTATCATACCTGTGCTGAAAATCTGTCTCGCAATGTTGCTCACATTTAGGGTTTTAACTTATGTCACTGCCTTATACCTCGTTATTCCTAGTTCACGTGTTGCTCCTCTTTATTTCTATTTCTCTACATTTGTGAGGGATCAAACTGTGGATTGCATCTTCTCCAATCCTTATGTTGGATCCGACATTGTGATATTTTCAGTTTTATGAATACTTTCTGAAAGGATGGACAGTCTTGTGCTGCCATCTTTAAAGGCTTATGCTTATATTCCAACTGCCTTTACCTCTTTTGCCCTGGCCAGTCAGCTGTAGCATCGATATCATTGCCTCTATTCTTACATGTCTCAGTCCAGAGGCCACAAAGTTTAATATGTACTACTGATGCCATTATCTTATCCTTGTGTCTATGCTTCCTCTGGCTGTTTAGTTCAGCATAGAATGTAACAAGCCATCGTCCCAGCCTGCAATATCTCCCCTCCCCCCAGGCTAGTTATTTTTGATGTTGCGCTCCGATGATTTTTGTTTTGTCCTTCTGTGTTCCCGCCTCCGAAGTTTAACAAGGAGGGCTGATGTCCTCTCCTTCCGTGTTTCTCCTTCCCCAGGCCAGCCAATTCAACATGGAGCATTTCTCCGGGATGCACAACTGGTACGCCTGCTCGCACGCCAGGCCGACCTTCTGCAACGTCTGCAGAGAGGCTCTGCCAGGCGTCACCTCCCACGGCCTGTCCTGTGAAGGTACAAAGTACACACACACACACAC